CTCTTCCTCATACTCTTCCTCCTCTAACTCATACTCTTCTTCCTCTAACTCATACTCTTCCTCCTACTCTTCCTCCTCTAACTCATACTCTTCCTCATACTCTTCCTCCTCTAACTCATACTCTTCCTCATACTCTTCTTCCTCTAACTCATACTCTTCCTCATACTCTTCCTCCTCTAACTCATACTCTTCCTCCTCTTACTCATACTCTTCCTCATACTCTTCCTCATACTCTTCCTCCTCTAACTCAGACTCTTCCTCATACTATTCCTCATACTCTTCCTCCTCTAACTCATACTCTTCCTCATACTCTTCCTCATACTCTTCCTCCTCTAACTCATACTCTTCTTCCTCTAACTCATACTCTTCCTCATACTCTTCCTCCTCTAACTCATACTCTTCCTCATACTCTTCTTCCTCTAACTCATACTCTTCCTCATACTCTTCTTCCTCTAACTCATACTCTTCCTCATACTCTTCCTCCTCTAACTCATACTCTTCCTCATACTCTTCCTCCTCTAACTCATACTCTTCCTCCTCTTACTCATACTCTTCCTCATACTCTTCCTCCTCTAACTCATACTCTTCCTCCTCTAATCATACTCTTCCTCATACTCTTCCTTATACTCTTCCTCATACTCTTCCTCATACTCTTCCTCATACACTTCCTCCTCTTCCTCATACTCTTCCTCATACTCTTCCTCCTCTAACTCATACTCTTCCTCTAACTCATACTCTTCCTCTAACTCATACTCTTCCTCATACTCTTCCTCCTCTAACTCATACTCTTCCTCCTCTAACTCACACTCTTCCTCATACTCTTCCTCCTCTAACTCCTACTCTTCCTCCTCTAACTTATACCCTTCCTCATACTCTTCCTCATACTCTTCCTCATCTAACTCATACTCTTCCTCCTCTAACTCATACTCTTCCTCCTCCTACTCTTACTCATACTCTTCCTCCTCTTCCTCCTCCTACTCTTACTCATACCCTTCCTCCTCTTCCTCCTCCTACTCTTACTCATACTCTTCCTCCTCTTCCTCATACTCTTCCTCCTCTAACTCATACTCTTCCTCCTCTAACTCATACTCTTCCTCATACTCTTCCTCCTCTTCCTCATACTCTTCCTCATACTCTTCCTCATACTCTTCCTCATACTCTTCCTCCTCTTCCTCATACTCTTCCTCATACTCTTCCTCATACTCTTCCTCCTATTACTCATACTCTTCCTCCTCTTACTCATACTCTTCCTCATACTCTTCCTCCTCTAACTCATACTCTTACTCATACTCTTCCTCCTCTAACTCCTACTTTTCCTCCTCTAACTTATACCCTTCCTCATACTCTTCCTCATCTAACTCATACTCTTCCTCCTCCTACTCATACTCTTCCTCCTCCTACTCTTCCTCATACTCTTCCTCCTCCTACTCTTACTCATACTCTTCCTCCTCTAACTCATACTCTTCCTCCTCTAACTCATACTCTTCATCCTCTAACTCATCCTCTTCCTCATACTCTTCCTCATACTCTTCCTCATACTCTTCCTCCTCTTACTCATACTCTTCCTCCTCTTCCTCAAACTCTTCCTCATACTCTTCCTACTCTTCCTCATACTCTTCCTCCTCTTACTCATACTCTTCCTCCTCTTCCTCAAACTCTTCCTCATACTCTTCCTCCTCTTACTCATACTCTTCCTCCTCTTCCTCATACTCTTCCTCATACTCTTCCTCCTCTTACTCATACTCTTCTTGGTTTGTAGACAACCTACATGAACCCCTGAGCCACTGCCACAAATAAGTGTGTTTAACTTTTACCTGCCTGTGTCTGAAGTGTGTTTTAGTGAGTGAGATTGTGATCAGTGTTTTGCAGAACGAGTGCATGAGATTTGCAAATCTAATGTCTAACTGCCTGAACTTGTTTAAGGTTTTACAAAAAGAGTGATTTATTACACAAATTGGTTTAGGCTATTGGGAATTTGGTTCAGATGGGTTTAGTGTTTTAGCAATTCAGAAACTGTATTAGCAGTCATGATTGATATGTGTTTTAGGGTGTTTAGAGTGTTTGCAGTGAGATCTGCTGTAGAGGTTTGGGTTTGTAATGGTTTTGGCAGCCTGAGCAAACGCCTGCTGTAAAGCACTTAATCACTGGCCTATTAGACACACCATCACCATATAAACAGGCTAACGTGTTTCAACGGCTGGTGTCGTGCTGTTAGACGAAGCTGCTGTGTGTGTGTGTGTGTGTGTTAGACGAAGCTGCTGTGTGTGTGTGTGTGTGTTAGACGAAGCTGCTGTGTGTGTGTGTGTGTGTGTGTGTTAGACGAAGCTGCTGTGTGTGTGTGTGTGTGTGTTAGACGAAGCTGCTGCGTGTGTGTGTGTGTGTGTGTTAGACGAAGCTGCTGTGTGTGTGTGTGTGTGTTAGACGAAGCTGCTGTGTGTGTGTGTGTGTTAGATGAAGCTGCTGTGTGTGTGCGAGAGAGAGTGTGTGTGTGTTAGACGAAGCTGCTGTGTGTGTGTGTGAGAGAAAGAGAGAGTGTGTGTGTGTGTGTGTTAGATGAAGCTGCTGTGTGTGTGTGTGTGTGAGAGAGAGAGAGAGAGTGTGTGTGTGTGTGTTAGACGAAGCTGCTGTGTGTGTGTGAGAGAGAGTGTGTGTGTGTTAGACGAAGCTGCTGTGTGTGTGTGTGTGTGTTAGATTAATCTGCTGAGTGTGTGTGTGTGTGTTTAGCAGAGTCCCTGGAGAGTTTTCCTCTGTTCACTGTCATTAGTCCAGTCATTTATTAAGAGAAAATGGAGACTGTAGAGGCCTGTCAGTCTCTGCACCTGCGTTACATGTGAAGGGTTGTCTGCTGGCTGAGTGTGTGTGAGTGTGAGTGAGAGAGAGTGTGTGTTTGGATTCAGAGTTCAGGTCAGGATGTATTCCACAACAACCAAATGAACCCGAACTCTATAATCCTCCATAAACTGGTTCAGCTGCTGTGAATCGGACTCTTGAATATTCAGTCTCTCATAAGCATGGAAACATTTATTCCACAGGCCTAATGCAGTTTGACCCTGTAAAGCTCCACAATTAGCCGAACTTAACCCGCCACAGCCAGACGCGTTTCCACCGGCTCCAAACGCTCTGTTTTCATAAAGTATATTCAGAATATTGCCAAATCTGGAGTTACAGGCTGTTTCCATTAGCAGGGCTGATCAACTCTGCCATTGTGAGGGAATGATGTTGTATAGCTCTGAGGAAACGCAGACCGAAGCTGAAGAGCGGAACGCTTGCTCTGGAGAATGTAGCTCTGCATTTATAATATCACTCAGTGTTTTATCCCGGGGCCCCGGGGACTAATAACTCTGACTCCGTTGTTTGGCCCCTGGACTGGGTTTTCTGACTGATGGCAGACATATGTCTTCCGGCTTTGCGTCTCCTACACCAGAGCCAAACGTCCATCCAGCTCTCCTTATAAACGCTTTATTCAGACCAGTCTGTTAAACGTCACATTTTCAACATTCAACCCGTTTTTTTGTCCTGAAGAATCTGTTTCAAACTGAATGTTTTGCTGGTTTTAGTGCACATTTACTCAGTGAAACTCAACTAGGCAAACAGTGCGCCGTTAAAACACTCCTTTATTTGACTTCCCTCTTCCTCATAACATCATTCTCTCTGAGAATATTAAAAACACTTCCTAATCAAATCAAATGTATGTTGTTGAAAATAAACAGATTATCAAATCACTCAGAATCTGTTTCCTCTGCTAGAACGGTCAGCCTCATCTTTAGCTCTTTTAACAAATGTGGCTCCAATTATGATCAGCCTCGTTCTGAGCCGACGCCAGCGTTCGTGAGCAACACGTTTCATTTCAGAGAGATGCCTGTTCAACAACACCGCTATTATCCTCTCTGGATCTGTGTGTGTGTGTGTGTTCAGTTTCATCTGCACTCATAACGACTCAAACCTTAGGCTTTCACTGATATTGTGTTGTTGATGATGTTAAAATATTTTGAGCACATAAAATATACGTTCAGAGCTCTTTTTTTAAATATCATTATGAATCAAAGCTGTTTTCTGAATTTCACTGATGCTAAAAGAACGGAAAAAATGATCGTTCCGTCATCATTTACTCATCCTCATTTCTCCTCAGTCATGTATGACTTTCTTTCTGATGTGGAACAAAAGAAGATTTGGAGAAATGTCTTGTTCTTAATGTTTTTATTTACAATAAAAGTAAGCAAGTTTGGTTCCCTAAAATTCTTCTTTAGTGTTTGAAGACATATCGGGGAGTAATTATGACAGATTATCCTAATTTTATCATTATTATTTATTTGAATTGAATGAAATTGCCTACTAGCTAATTGCCTACAGTTTCTCGGTCTCTTCTCTGCAGAAACACAAACGCGATTCCCTCACTGAACACGCGATGGCGCCACTGCAGCAGAAGTGACGAGCAAACCAAAGATACAAACATCTCTTGAATCATCGATCAGTTTATTCATGTTTCAGCTAGAGAGTGCTTGTATAATGTCCCATTATTATCCACATTTCATCTGCTTCAGTAGCGTTGAACAGTTACACTGTACAGAATAAAATCAGGCTGACAAAAGCTCTTTGAGATGTTAAAAGTAAGGAAGCAGGGAAAGTATACTGCATGTCAAGTTAATGATTTTTATTAATCTCTGGTGCTTCACGAGTGATAAAACACACGCTTTTATTACTGACACAATTTAAACCGTTTTACTCTGAACTCTTTTGTTATAATAACTAACTGTTCATCTGTCAACATGATCACGTAACGTTACTGTTGGTTTATTTACACGAGACGCAGTTTCGCCGTTCGTTATAAACTCTTGTCCTGTTCTTCTGAGTTGATGATTGACTCTGACTCCTCCCAAACAAACTTCCTCAAACTATCTTCCGTCGATCTGGTCTGTGAAACACGGTGAAATGGAGAGAAGCGTCAGATCGCTCGGTTTCTTCGACTCTCAGATCTCCTCAGATGTTTAGTGTTGTTCGTGATGTCCGATGTGAAGACGCAGATGTCCTGGCACGAGGATTTCGCCAAAAACCTTTCCAGGTTCTTTTCCAGGAGTAAATCCGTGGACACGGAGCCGGAGGGGAATGAGAGGTTTGCCTCATTTTCTTCCTTCCTTCTATTTCTAGCGGTTAATCGAGTGAAGTCTGTTCTGTTTGTGCTCGTGAAGAAGTTTCTGTCGTCTGTGAGTTGTTTCATGTTTTCTCTGAGCCAATCAAACAATCACACTGTTTCTGTTCTTCTGCAGAGGATTTTATTCGCTGTTTTTTTTCTTAATGTCAAAACGGGCTGGAAATATTTCGAAGAAAAGAGTTATTTAATAGCTCAGGGTGTGTCAGTCAGTGTTCTGTGTGTCTCTGGAGAGAATCTGATATCCGTGGACAGTTGAAGCTGAAGGCAGTTTCTGTGTTTGTGTTGATTATCAATGCTTTGCATATTCCTCTGATTTGTTTATTTCCCTCAGTGAGATCAGAGAGGCTGATGATGGATCTGCAGATCAAACACCTGAGCAGCACCAGAACACACAGGTGAGACTGACACTCAAGAGGAGCTTTCACTGTAGTGTGTGTGTGTGTGTGTGTGTGTGAGAGAGAGAGAGAGAGTAGAGAAGCAGACAGCAGGAAGGAGAAATATATAAAGATAGAAATATAGAACTATATGAAACACAAAGAATTTGCTGATTTTCTGTCAGAGTTAGTACTCACTGCAGATAAAGTCCTAATTTTTGGTGATTGGTGATGAAAAATATGCATTGGGATTGGCATTTAAAGATATTCTTAACTCTATTGGAGTTAGACAGCACGTGTCAGGACCTACTCATTTTCATAATCATACTCTAGATCTAATTCTATCACACGGAATAGATGTTGATCCCGTTGAAATTCTGCAGCAGAGCGACGACATCTCAGATCATTGTCTAGTCTCATGTAAATTACATTTAGCCAAGGCTGCAAACCCGACTCTGTGTTACAAATATGTTAGACCTATCACTTCTGCCACTAAAGATTGCTTTATCAATAATCTTCCTGATCAGTTTCATCATCTCAGCATCCCAGATAGCTTAGAAGAATTCGATATTGCGACAGAAACTTTTAACTCTCTCCTTTCCAGTACTTCATTACTTCCAGACACAGTTGCTCCGTTGCGCTTAAAGAAAATAGTCCAATGCCGTGGTATAACGAGCACACACACACACACACACACACACACACACACACACACACACACACACACACACACACACACACACACACACACACACACACTCAGGCCCTTAAGAGAGCAGCCAGAAACATGGAGCGAAACTGGAAGAAAACAAAACTAGAGGTATTTCGCATTTCATGGAAGGAGAGCTCGACTACATACAGAGAGGCTTTAAAAGCTGCTAGATCTGCTTATTTTTCAATCCTATTAGAAGAACATAAACAAAACCCAAGGTATTTATTTGAAACAGTTGCTAAATTAACGAGAAATAAAGCTTCAAGCTCAGAAGTGTCCAAGCAGCACAGCAGTAATGACTTTATGAAGTTCTTCACTTATAAGATTGATAATATCAGGGAGAAAATTATAACTATGCAACCGTCTACCACAGTATCGCATCAGGGAGTGCATTGTAGTCTCCATGAGGAAAACTTATAATCATTTGTTGCTATAGGAGAGGAAGAATTGTCTAAACTCGTTAAATCATCTAAATCTACAGCTAAGCTAATGAAAGAGATGCTTCCAGAGGTCAAAGATGCTCTTCTTAATACCATTAATTCATCTTTGTCATTAGGATACGCACCAAAATCTTTTAAGCTGGCTATGATTAAACCACTTGCTAAAAAAACGCAACTTGATCGTACAGAATCAGTCGATTACAGGCTGATCTCAAATCTACATTTTTTGTCAAAGATATTAGAAAAGGCAGTATCTTCACAACTATGTTCCTTTTTAGAAAGAAATGATATCTGGGAGGATTTCCAGTCCGGATTCAGACCGTACCATAGCACTGAGACAGCTCTCATCAGAGTCACAAATGATTTGCTCTTATCATCCGATCGCGGTTGTATCTCTCTATTAGTGTTACTCGATCTTAGTGCTGCATTTGACACTATTGACCACAACATTCTTTTAAATAGACTCAAAAATTATGTTGGCATTAGTGGAGTTGCATTAGCATGGTTTAAATCACACTTATCTGACCGTTATCAGTGTGTAGCAGTAAATGAAGAGATGTCTTATCGATCACAAGTTCAGTATGGCGTACCACAAGGCTCAGTACTAGGACCGCTGCTGTTCACTCTGTACATGCTACACACACACACACACACGCTCGCTCGCTCGCTCGCTCGCTCGCTCACTCACTCACTCACTCACTCACTCACTCACTCACTCACTCACTCACTCACTCACTCACTCACTCACTCACTCACTCACTCACTCACTCACTCACTCACTCACTCACTCACTCACTCACTCACTCACTCACTCACTCACTCACTCACTCACTCACTCTCTCACACACACACACACACACACACACTCTGTACATGCTACACACACACACTCTGTACATGCCACCCTTAAGAGATATCATTAGGAAGCATATGATACTCAGCTCTATATTTCTTCACGCCCCGACGAAACTTACCAATTCACAAAATTAACGGAATGCATAGCTGATATAAAAAATTGGATGACTAGTAATTTCCTACTACTAAATTCTGAAAAAACAGATTCTAATTATTGGACCAAACACTTCCTCACGTAATAACCTAGAATACTGTCTAACACTTGATGGCTCTGTCAAGTCTTCGTCGTTGGTTAGGAACCTGTGTGTGTGTGTGTGTGTGTGTGTGTGTGTGTGTGTGTGTGTGTGTGTGTGCTCTTTAATACCAATCTTTCATTTGAAAGTCATGTGTCTAGTATCTGTAAAACCGCATTCTTCCATCTTAAAATATATCTAAATTACGACATATGCTTTCAATGACAAATGCGGAACAATTAGTCCATGCGTTCATGACCTCAAAGGCTAGATTACTGTAATGCTCTACTGGGTGGTTGCCCTGCACGCTTAATAAACAAACTCCAGCTGGTCCAAAACACAGCAGCTCGAGTTCTTACCAGAACCAGGAAGTATGGCCATATTAGCCCGGTTCTGTCAACACTGCATTGGCTCCTATTAAACATCGTATACATTTTTAAATATTGCTGATTACTTACAAAGCACTAAATGGTTTAGCTCCCAGTACTTGAGCGAGCTCTTAAAGCATCGTAGTTCTTCACGTCATATTGCAATCTCAAAGTTCCGGCCAGTTGATTAATACCTAGAATATCTAAATCGACTGCTGGCGGTAGATCCTTTTCCTATTTAGCACCAAAACTCTGGAACAGTCTTCCTACCATTGTCCGGGAAGCAGACACACTCTGTCGAGTTCAAAGCTAGACTAAAAACACATCTCTTTGACCTAGCATACATATAACTACACTATAGACTTCTATAATTCAATGTTAGGCTGCATAGATTAGGTCAGCCGGATCCGGGAACACGTCCCGTAAATCCTGATGTACTGGTTACATCATAAGAAGAATGGCATCTACGCTATATATTAGTCTCTCTGTTTATCCCGAGGTTTTACCACAGTCCGCCGGATCCAGATCTGATGAAGGACCAGCGCCTGGATGCGACGACAACGCAATCTCTGTTACTTTAATTTCTTTTTATCACTGTAAAGCTGCTTTGAAACGATCTATATTGGTAAAAGTGCTATATAAATGGAGGTGACTGACAAATATTCAAACGGAACATTAGAGAGTATGAACTGACTCATTTATGGCTAATTCTAATCAGTTTCCCATAAGTATATAGTGATGGATAATACAGAACCACCAAAGAAAATATAAAGGAATACAGACTGGACTATGTTTAAAAACTAAGAAAAACGCCTTCAGTTTTCAAGCCTGCCTAACTATAGAGTTAGAGTCCCCTTCATCTGAAACAATCTATATTGTTAAAGCGCTGTATAAAGCAGCTTTACAGTGATAACAGGAGATTACAGTAAAATAGATTGTTTAGGCTTTACAGCAGATCTAGAATAAAGTTATTGTCCAGATAAAGATTAGTTTTGATTGATTCACTTTCGTTGTAAAGATCATTAGTTATTAACTTAGGGGCCGCTAACACAACACCGTTCTAACAGAAGACAGAAAACTGTTTTCAGAGAAACGACAGAATAACAACTACGAAATTTCTTTCTTTCTTTCTTTCTTCTTTCTTTCTTTCTTTCTTTCTTTCTTTTTTCTTTCTTTCTTTCTTTATTTCTTTATTTCTTTATTTCTTTATTTCTTTTCTTTTTTTCTTTCTTTCTTTCTTTCTTTCTTTCTTTCTTTCTTTCTTTCTTTCTCTCTTTCTTTCTTTCTTTCTTTCTTTCTTTCTTTCTTTCTTTCTTTCTTCTCTTCTTTCTTCTTTCTTTCTTCTTTAGCACTGAAGGGGTTAAGGGTTAGGGTGGGATGTGCTGGGGAGGAGAACGTGAGGGAGGGAGGGGAGAGACGGATGGAGAGGGAGAGAGAGGGAGGGAGGGAGGAGAGAGAGAGGGGAGGGAGAGGAGGAGAGAGGGAGGGAGAGAGAGGGAGGAGGGGAGAGGGAGGGAGAGAGAGGGAGGGGAGAGAGAGAGGGGGAGGGGAGGGAGAGGGAGGGAGAGAGAGGGAGGGAGAGAGAGGGAGGAGGAGGGGAAGGGGAGGGAGGGAGGAGAGGGAGGGTAAGGGAGGAGGGAGGGAGAGGGAGGGAGGAGAGGGAGAGGGAGGGAGGGAGAGAGAGGGAGGGAGGGAGGAGAGAGAGAGGGAGGGAGAGAGAGAGGGAGGGAGGGAGGAGAGAGAGGGAGGGAGAGAGAGGGGGGGAGGGGGAAGGGAGGGAGGGAGGGAGAGAGAGAGGGGGAGGGAGGAGGGAGGGAGGGAGGGAGAGGGAGAGGAGAGAGAGGGGGAGGAAGGGAGGGAGGGAGGGAGAGAGAGGGAGAGAGAGGGAGAGGGGGAGGAAGGGAGGGAGGGAGGGAGAGAGAGGGAGAGAGAGGGAGAGAGAGAGAGAGGGAGGGAGGGGGATGGAGAGAGAGGGAGTGAGATAGAGAGAGAGAGAGAGAGACAGATGGTCACTGCTGCTACTGAAGGTGCCTCCCTCTCTCTGTTCTCTCTCAGGAGTCGCTGCTATCTGACGGAAGCAGCGCGTCACACTCGGAAGACGAGAGCTCGAGTCCTCAGTCCGCCTCCACAGCACCTCCTGCAGACGGATTCCTCAGACGCCTGGGAAGCCTGTTCCAATTCAGCCGGGCAGAACCGGCCCGAGGACAGAGAGAGAGACAGACCGACGCGGACAGCCTGATTACAGCAGAGAGAGAAACGCAAACAAGCGCAAACACACACAAGAGCGGAGGAAGGGAGGAACCGGTGGAGCCGTCTGTGTGTCATTCAGAGCTCACACACACACAGTAAGTCACATCAACGACAGTCCCTGTGTGTTTGTATGTGTGTGTGTGTGTGTGTGTGTGTGTGTGTGTGTGTGTTTGTGTTTGTATTAGAGCCCAACTGAAAAGGATTTTTGGGGGCCGATACCGATATTAAGGAGTAAAAAAAATCAGATATCGATATATCAGCCGATATTCTTGATGTGATATTATTGATATTATAGTACAGTACTTTGTGTGTCCAAACTTTTGACTGGTACTGTATATAGAATACAATATATACATAAACAGAAGATACTCTGTATTGCCAAAAGTATTGGGACACCCCTCCAAATCATTGAGTTCAGGTGTTCCAATCACTTCCATGGCCACAGGTGTATAAATCAAGCACTAGACACTCAGGCGCTTCTACACACATCTGTGAAAGAACGGGTCGCTCTCAGTGAACTCAAGCGTGGGACCGCGATCGGTTGCCACCAGTGCAATAACTCCATTCATGAAATTTCCTCACTATGAAATATTCCATGGTCGACTGTTAGTGGTATTATAACAAAGTCGAAGCAATTGGGAAGAACAGCAACTCGGCCACGAAGTGTTAGGCCATGTAAAATCCCAGAGCGGGTCAGCGCATGCTGAGGCTCACAGTGCGCAGAACGGTACTTGCCTGACTGCATTGTGCCAAGTGTAAGGTTTGGTGGAGGAGGGATTATGGTGTGGGGTTGTTTGGTGGAGGGGGGGTTATGGTGTGGGTTTGTTTGGTGGAGGGGGGATTATGGTGTGGGTTTGTTTGGTGGAGCAGGGATTATGGTGTGGGTTTGTTTGGTGGAGGAGGGATTATGGTGTGGGTTGTTTGGTGGAGGAGGGATTATGTTGTGGGTTTGTTTGGTGGAGCGGGGATTATGGTGTGGGTTTGTTTGGTGGAGGAGGGATTATGGTGTGGGTTTGTTTGGTGGAGCGGGGATTATGGTGTGGGTTTGTTTGGTGGAGGAGGGATTATGGTGTGGGTTTGTTTGGTGGAGGGGGGATTATGGTGAGGGGTTGTTTGGTGGAGGAGGGATTATGGTGTGGGGTTGTTTGGTGGAGGGGGGATTATGGTGTGGGGTTGTTTGGTGGAGGGGGGATTATGGTGTGGGGTTGTTTGGTGGAGGAGGGATTATGGTGGGGGGATTATGGTGTGGGGTTGTTTGGTGGAGGGGGGATTATGGTGAGCGGTTGTTTGGTGGAGGGGGGATTACGGTGAGGGGTTGTTTGGTGGAGGGGGGATTATGGTGTGGGGTTGTTTGGTGGAGGAGGGATTATGTTGAGGGGTTGTTTGGTGGAGGGGGGATTATGTTGAGGGGTTGTTTGGTGGAGGGGGGATTATGGTGAGGGGTTGTTTGGTGGAGGGGGGATTACGGTGTGGGGTTGTTTGGTGGAGGAGGGATTATGGTGGGGGGATTATGGTGTGGGGTTGTTTGGTGGAGGAGGGATTATGGTGGGGGGATTATGGTGTGGGGTTGTTTGGTGGAGGAGGGATTATGGTGAGCGGTTGTTTGGTGGAGGGGGGATTACGGTGTGGGGTTGTTTGGTGGAGGGGGGATTACGGTGAGGGGTTGTTTGGTGGAGGGGGGATTATGGTGTGGGGTTGTTTGGTGGAGGAGGGATTATGTTGAGGGGTTGTTTGGTGGAGGGGGGATTATGGTGAGGGGTTGTTTGGTGGAGGGGGATTATGGTGTGGGGTTGTTTGGTGGAGGGGGGATTATGGTGTGGGGTTGTTTGGTGGAGGGGGGATTATGGTGTGGGGTTGTTTGGTGGAGGGGGGATTATGTTGAGGGGTTGTTTGGTGGAGGGGGGGTTATGGTGAGCGGTTGTTTGGTGGAGGGGGGATTACGGTGAGGGGTTGTTTGGTGGAGGGGGGATTATGGTGTGGGGTTGTTTGGTGGAGGGGGGATTATGGTGAGGGGTTGTTTGTTGGAGGGGGGATTATGGTGAGGGGTTGTTTGGTGGAGGGGGATTATGGTGTGGGGTTGTTTGGTGGAGGGGGGATTATGGTGAGGGGTTGTTTGGTGGAGGGGGGATTATGGTGAGGGGTTGTTTGGTGGAGGGGGATTATGGTGTGGGGTTGTTTGGTGGAGGGGGGGGGTTATGGTGTGGGGTTGTTTGGTGGAGGGGGGGGATTATGGTGTGGGGTTGTTTGGTGGAGGGGGATTATGGTGTGGGGTTGTTTGGTGGAGGGGGGATTATGGTGAGGGGTTGTTTGGTGGAGGGGGATTATGGTGTGGGGTTGTTTGGTGGAGGGGGGGGGGTTATGGTGTGGGGTTGTTTGGTGGAGGGGGGATTATGGTGTGGGGTTGTTTGGTGGAGCGGGGATTATGGTGTGGGGTTGTTTGGTGGAGGGGGGGGGGGTTATGGTGTGGGGTTGTTTGGTGGAGTGGGGTTATGGTGTGGGGTTGTTTGGTGGAGGGGGGGGGTTATGGTGTGGGGTTGTTTGGTGGAGGGGGGTTATGGTGTGGGGTTGTTTGGTGGACCATAAACACATGGATGAGGAGTTTGGTGTGAGGAACTGGACTGGCTGCACAGAGTCCTGAGCTCGACCCGGTAGAACAGTTTAGGAATAAGTTACAGCGGAGACTGAGAGCTTCTCGTCCAACATCAGTGCCGGACCTCACTAATGCTCTTCTAGAAGAATTATTCCCATAAACACACTCCTAAACCTTGTGGAAAGCCTTCCCAGAAGAGTTGAAGCTGTTATAGCAGCAAAGGGTGGAGCAACTCCATATTAAATCCTACGGATCTGGAATGGGATGCCATTAAAGTTCATGTGCATGTCAAGGCAGACGTCCCAAAACTTTTGCCAATATAGTGTAGTGCATATACATAAACACATCTTTTGCAATGATCACTCAAATGTGGTGATCAAACACTTTTAATGATGTGACAAAGATATGAAATGGAGGCAGGGTGAATGATAGATTGATAATGATATATTTGAGCTGGAACCAAACTAGTTTGCATTCCATGTTCTATTCTATATTATATTCTAAATACTGTATCTTAATCTTCACTAATGACTTCATCTTTTTATTTAGTAATGTTAAATAAAATGTAATGAGTGTCACTGGCAAAACCTTATCATCTTCTATTATTAGTCGTATTTCCTCTAGTCTCTACCAGTGGTGGAAGAAGTACTCAGATCTTTAACTAAAGTAAAAGTAATAATACCGTAATGAAAATGTTCAATTACATATTTAAAATCGTATTTAATTAAAAGTACATACATAGTCAGCTAAATGTACTAAACGTGAAAGTACTCCTGCAAAATGGCCCTATATAAAGTGTTAATTATATAAATGATTGGAATATTGCTTGATGTTGTAACGACATCAGTCAAGCGGTGTCTTAACGATAAGTTGCTAACTAGTTACCAGTGCGGTGGTGGCTTGAGGCTGCTTTGTATTGTAAAAAGCGCTATGTAAATAAATGTGACTAGACTTGACTTGAGTCTGTCGAATGGTGATTTAACGCTACATTGTCACCTGGTGAGACGCAATGCTACAAAGTAAATAAACAATGTCCCCGTCTTTTACTCTCACAGCGAGCTTATCATACTCGTTTGCTACATTAGCTATATATCGATATATCTGCGGCAGGCTCATAACGGCTGATAAAATCGCCAGACCGAGGAATTGGTCGGGCTCTAGTTTGTGTGTGTGTGTGTGTATTGGTGTGAGTGTGGGTGTGCATGTCCGCACGCGTGTGTGTGTGTGTTTTCAACGTTTTGTTCAAAGGTTTGGGTTAGCCTTTTGTGTGAATATAAAAGCGATAGAAGTCTATGATTTACATGGCTAAAGAGAATGTGTGTGTGTGTGTGTGTGTGTGTGTGTCGAGGACACTGGTTTCTCTCATACTTCAGTCCATGTGACTGCGACCCCCTGAGGCCTGGCGCCTGCTGATGATGTCATCAAACCGGCCCTGAACATCCACAGTGCTTTTTTATTCAGAACGTCCTGCCAAAAGGATGTTCATCACCGTAACTGGTGTATCTGCAGCTCCGGTGTGTGTTATCTGTTATCAGACGTGGTGTCACACACAGAAGCTGTCGATATGACGTATTACCAGATAAACCATCTGAACTCTGATGATTGTGGATCATATCTGCACTTTATTGAGCTGTAAACGTCTGCGCGGTTTCTCACTGATTTCATACACAGGTTAGAGGGAGTTGTGTTTATTTGGTTGTACTATGAGGACATTTTCAATTGGAAATACAATCAATAATAATAATAAAGTTATTTGTGTGTATACCGTATCATATCTTCATTAATGCATTATGAATTTTTGAACTTTATCCCTTACGCAAAATCCACAAATATGTAAATATATCAATAGAACAAAACCGACCCACATCTAAATCTCTTAATTGTCTTGATCCCTCGTGCTTGAGTGACTACAGCACTGATATATGCGCTAGACAACACTATAAATACAATATATCTAGATATAAATCCAGAGGATCCCTCGCATCATCATCGTTATATATCGCCATATCTCCCAGCATACAGCATTATCGAGAGTAGGACTTTCTGTAAAGATTCTTTGGAAGTGTGTGTTGTAAAAAGTGCTATACCGATAAATATAACGGTAACACTTTACAATAAGGTTCGTTAGTTAACATTAGTTAACTACATTAGTTAAAATGAACTAATAATGAACTGCACATATACAGCATTTATTAATCTTTGTTAATGTTAATTTCAACATTTACTAATACTTTATTAAATCTTGTTAACATTAGTTAATGCACTGTGAACTAACAATGAACAGCTGCATTTTTATTCACTAATGTTAACAAAGATTGACAAATAAAGTAACAAATGGTTTGCTTATGGTCAGTTCATGTTAGTTAGTAAATTAATTACTGTTAACTTATGAACCTTATTTTAAAGTGTTACCAATATAACTTGACTTGAATGACTGGAAGAATCTGTGGTGTTTTTGGAGAATTAGGAAAGTGTTCAGAGGATTTCTATCATGAAATGGCTTTATTTGCTCGGAAGCTTTCGCGTCCTCCAGGCAGACGAGTGTGTGGAGGCTCGTTCAGACCAGCTGACTGACAGCTCATCAGCAGAACGACAGCGCTGAGATCCACAGACACCAGAACAACACCAGACCAGCAGAACGACAGCACTGAGATCCACAGACACCAAACAACACCGGACCAGCAGAACGACAGCACTGAGATCCACAGACACCAGAACAACACCAGACCAGCAGAACGACAGCGCTGAGATCCACAGACACCAGAACAACACCAGACCAGCAGAACGACAGCGCTGAGATCCACAGACACCAGAACAACACCAGACCAGCAGAACGACAGCGCTGAGATCCACAGACACCAGAACAACACCAGACCAGCAGAACGACAGCGCTGAGATCCACAGACACCAGAACAACACCAGACCAGCAGAACGACAGCGCTGAGATCCACAGACACCAGAACAACACCAGACCAGCAGAACGACAGCGCTGAGATCCACAGACACCAGAACAACACCAGACCAGCAGAACGACAGCGCTGAGATCCACAGACACCAGAACAACACCAGACCAGCAGAACGACAGCGCTGAGATCCACAGACACCAGAACAACACCAGACCAGCAGAACGACAGCGCTGAGATCCACAGACACCAGAACAACACCAGACCAGCAGAACGACAGCACTGAGATCCACAGACACCAGAACAACACCGGACCAGCAGAACGACAGCGCTGAGATCCACAGACACCAGAACAACACCAGACCAGCAGAACGACAGCGCTGAGATCCACAGACACCAGAACAACACCAGACCAGCAGAACGACAGCGCTGAGATCCACAGACACCAGAACAACACCAGACCAGCAGAACGACAGCGCTGAGATCCACAGACACCAGAACAACACCAGACCAGCAGAACGACAGCACTGAGATCCACAGACACCAGAACAACACCAGACCAGCAGAACGACAGCGCTGAGATCCACAGACACCAGAACAACACCAGACCAGCAGAACGACAGCGCTGAGATCCACAGACACCAGAACAACACCAGACCAGCAGAACGACAGCACTGAGATCCACAGACACCAGAACAACACCAGACCAGCAGAACGACAGCGCTGAGATCCACAGACACCAGAACAACACCAGACCAGCAGAACGACAGCGCTGAGATCCACAGACACCAGAACAACACCAGACCAGCAGAACGACAGCACTGAGATCCACAGACACCAGAACAACACCAGACCAGCAGAACGACAGCGCTGAGATCCACAGACACCAGAACAACACCAGACCAGCAGAACGACAGCACTGAGATCCACAGACACCAGAACAACACCAGACCAGCAGAACGACAGCACTGAGATCCACAGACACCAGAACAACACCAGACCAGCAGAACGACAGCACTGAGATCCACAGACACCAGAACAACACCAGACCAGCAGACCGACAGCGCTGAGATCCACAGACACCAGAACAACACCAGACCAGCAGAACGACAGCGCTGAGATCCACAGACACCAGAACAACACCAGACCAGCAGAACGACAGCACTGAGATCCACAGACACCAGAACAACACCAGACCAGCAGAACGACAGCGCTGAGATCCACAGACACCAGAACAACACCAGACCAGCAGAACGACAGCGCTGAGATCCACAGACACCAGAACAACACCAGACCAGCAGAACGACAGCACTGAGATCCACAGACACCAGAACAACACCAGACCAGCAGAACGACAGCGCTGAGATCCACAGACACCAGAACAACACCAGACCAGCAGAACGACAGCACTGAGATCCACAGACACCAGAACAACACCAGACCAGCAGAACGACAGCACTGAGATCCACAGACACCAGAACAACACCAGACCAGCAGAACGACAGCACTGAGATCCACAGACACCAGAACAACACCAGACCAGCAGACCGACAGCGCTGAGATCCACAGACACCAGAACAACACCAGACCAGCAGAACGACAGCGCTGAGATCCACAGACACCAGAACAACACCAGACCAGCAGAACGACAGCACTGAGAGATCCACAGACACCAGAACAACACCAGACCACCAGAACAACACCAGACCAGCAGAACGACAGCGCTGAGATCCACAGACACCAGAACAACACCAGACCAGCAGAACGACAGCGCTGAGATCCACAGACACCAGAACAACACCAGACCAGCAGAACGACAGCGCTGAGATCCACAGACACCAGAACAACACCAGACCAGCAGAACGACAGCGCTGAGATCCACAGACACCAGAACAACACCAGACCAGCAGAACGACAGCGCTGAGATCCACAGACACCAGAACAACACCAGACCAGCAGAACGACAGCGCTGAGATCCACAGACACCAGCACAACACCAGACCAGCAAAACGACAGCACTGAGATCCACAGACACCAGAACAACACCAGACCAGCAGAACGACAGCACTGAGATCCACAGACACCAGAACAACACCAGACCAGCAGAACGACAGCGCTGAGATCCACAGACACCAGAACAACACCAGACCAGCAGAACGACAGCACTGAGAGATCCACAGACACCAGAACAACACCAGACCACCAGAACAACACCAGACCAGCAGAACGACAGCGCTGAGATCCACAGACACCAGAACAACACCAGACCAGCAGAACGACAGCACTGAGATCCACAGACACCAGAACAACACCAGACCAGCAGAACGACAGCGCTGAGATCCACAGACACCAGAACAACACCAGACCAGCAGAACGACAGCACTGAGATCCACAGACACCAGAACAACACCAGACCAGCAGAACGACAGCGCTGAGATCCACAGACACCAGAACAACACCAGACCAGCAGAACGACAGCACTGAGATCCACAGACACCAGAACAACACCAGACCAGCAGAACGACAGCGCTGAGATCCACAGACACCAGAACAACACCAGACCAGCAGAGCGACAGCACTGAGATCCACAGACACCAGAACAACACCAGACCAGCAGAACTCGTGCAGTCAGACGCCTCTCTCGGAGCTCTTCAGCAGCTTCTGCATTTCCATGTCCTCATTACACTAATGTGTTCCTCTCTGCAAAACTATTTAAGGTTCAGACAGTGGTGTGTCAGTTTCATGTTCAGTTTAACGTCCTGCAGAGTGAAACTGTGAGGCTGTCAGAACGCTGGTCTGGCCTGCCTTTCCCAAAAGCATCGTATGCCTAATAGATCGCAATACCATCGACGCCAACAGTCTCTTCGACCAACATCACTCACAATGCTAGTGAGTGAGTGAGTGAGTGAGTGAGTGAGTGAGTGAGTGAGTGAGTGAGTGAGTGAGTGAGTGAGTGAGTGAGTGAGTGAGTGAGTGAGTGAGTGAGTGAGTGAGTGAGCGAGCAGTATGTCACTGCTGTTGGCTAATGAAGGTTGGAGTAACAAAAGGGAAAGACCTCTGAGGAGCGTCTCTTGCGTTTGCTGTCGGTGTGCTGATGATGAAAAGCGTGTTGTAATAGTTATTTCCATGTAGCACAGAACAGAAGCTGTAAGCTCGTCCACTGGGAATCATGTTTGACAGGAAGCCGAGCTGATAAAACAGATTTATTCACTCTCGGTGCATGTTTGTGAGTCCAGGAATAGAAACACCTCAGTTCTTTCATTGTCTTACTTAAGGTGAAACTTCTTATTTTAAATTCTATTTATATCACAGCTTGCTTGAGATCCAAGTGTCTAGGTAGAGCCTCCCGGGAAATATTCTGCCGAGTGACTCTTTCGGATGATCACATGACTGAACGAGCTGGAGATGCCTGATGAAATGTTCAGTATTTTCCACTTTCCTTTTTCACTCATTCAGTTATGTTACACTCCTATATGTTTCTGTCCTGTCATGAGAATGTTTCGAGGGCAGACTCTAATGTGTCCATCTAATGAACGTTTATCTGATCAACTGCTTCCTTCGTTCCTTCGCAGAGAACAAAGAGAAGATATGTTGTGTGTGCACAACACTGAGAGTATAGCATTTGACTGTTTACTGAGCCTTTATCATCAGTTTAAAATTCGAGTTGCTGTGTGAATAATGAGTTTTATTCAGTCCACTTCTCCAGTCCTCTCATCTGATAGCGAGTACCACACCATTCAGAATAACCAGTGCTGTCTGTTCATCAAATCAAGCAATTTAATGGCTTTAGAAGACTTGGAATATAATGCACTAAAGTTTTTGTGGTGGCTTTTTTGAGCTTGTCAGTAACAACAATGGGTAACGCACAGAATCGAATTTGGATCGGTCCCATACTGATCGATACCTGATCTGACAAAAAAGTCTGTATCTGACTGATACCGATACTGGGTATTGGATCGCTGCATCTCTAATCTTTTATAATGTTTAATTGTTTTGTAATGGGTTATGGTTAATGGGTTACTTTGTTTTTTTGTACTTATTTGCATTGTACAGTACCATTGTGTGATGGTTTCTGTACTGCGTCTACAGGCAGTAGGTGCTTTTGAGTAGATGCTGCTTATGAATATTGAATGAGTATAATGTTTTACATAACAGCAATATGACACATAGAGAGCACTACAAATGTCATGAGTGTGTGCTTTAATGTCTCTCAAATGTTTGGTTGTCTGTCCTGTTTATGTATCCATTCGTTGTGTGTGGAATTGTGCAGGGATAGCTTTACTAGTGTCTCTTTGTATTTCTTCTGTTCAGATCTCAGGAACAGACCGAGGAAGATAGAAGTGATGCCGTAAACATCAACGCCACAGAGCGCTCGGAGGAGAAGAGACGTCATGACCTAGCCTGTCCTCCTGTGGTGACTTATGGCACGTACCGTGGATTGAGGGAAGTCAGGAAACCAAAGAAGAAGCATCGAGTCGAGCTTCACTCGCCCATCTCTGAGGGAGAAGAGGCGACTCCGCCCGACAGCCATGAGGACAACGAGATCTCCTCTTCCTCTGTTAACACAATGAACTCTGATAGTCAGCAATATCCCACTGCAGAAAATCAAGCATCGCCTTCACAGACACAACAGACAGAGGACGGATTGACCCAGAATGACTTATTAGATGAGGTTCCTACTGTTGAATCTGGACTAACTCCAGCCCACCAACTCTCTCATGTTACAGACTCTGACCGGTTGCTTACCTGCATAGATGTCTACAGAATTCCTCAACCAGCAGAACCAAGTCCGTTGAATGACCCGGTTAACCGCAGACAGGAGCATCTTGCCCAGGGTGTTACGTTAGAGGCGGTATCAGGAGACACTAATGATCTGACACTATCAAACGCACAATCAAACTCTTACACAGTCCATCACGACACACTCCCCACTCCAGAACAGAGCTCAGAGCAACCAAAGCCATCAGTAATTGTAAACCGAACAGATGATCTAGCCCCGGATTCTCAGGCACACCAGCGTCCGGAGGAGTCCAAGCTGGAACGGGCTGAGGTGGACTCTGGAGTAGATGAAGAGGTCCTACGTTTGGAGTCTAAAAAGATGGTGGACAGCATCCTGACTAATGCTCTTGCTGCCCTGCAGAAGATGGAAGTATCTGAGACGGAGCATGGCGTACTGTTAACCTGTGAACTCCATGAAGGCTCAGAGGCAGTGCTGTTTGAAGGGTTAGAGGGTCGTGGAGATGGAGGCACTGAAGCAGAGCATCAGTTTCGTGTGATGCTGTCGGACCAGACGCTGTCTGTCGTTCTGGAAGAAGAGCTGGCAGGAACCTGTAGGTCTCCACCCTCATCAGGGTACGAGTCCATCGCTGGCTCCGACACTGACATCAGGGGCATTGTGGGACTGAACTCCGAGCTCACCACTACCTGTGCTCCAGTCGGCTCTCAAAATGAGAATCAGACCGTTCTTGAATATTTAGTTGAGGAAAAAAATGTGGATGTAACTGGTTCCCGTAAGAGCAGTGCTGCTGATGACGAGCCATTATCCCCAAATCTCCAAAGCCATAGGGATGTTGTTCATAAAACAGACTTCAAGCTCTTCCTACCTGCTTTGACAGAGGAGTCTCTCTCACGAGAGCAAAACACTGGTGACGTCTCCTCATGTAAAGATAAAGGGGGAAAGAGACCTCAGGATACAGCCAAAGACAATGCAATGAGCAATAACCACCTTAATGGTTCCTGTGACACCTCCATCCTCACTCCTGCTTCAGCAGAACATCAGGATAGTCTTCAACAAAGCCAAACTCTCAGTGTAACTCTCAATGACCGCTTTAGCCACAGTCTTGCATCGGACACAGCTGATTCTGATATGATGTCAGAAATCAAAGAACAGCCACCAGCTATACGAAGCCATGAATCTGAGGAGACCGAAGCACCTTATTCAGGGAGCAGTCAACAGGAACCGATCTCTTGTGACTTTAGCGCTGGAACAGATTGCAGTGTCCAGCCGCGCGTGACTGAAGTCCAGTGCTCTGGAGGGCAGCACCATCCTTCTCACTGGGTCTCAGTCCGAGCGTTTCGCTGCGACGTCACCGATGACCAAAGCCTGAGTCCCGCCACACTCGAGGAGCATCTGAAGCCAGAGCTCAGTGTGAACCCAGGTATACCAGCCGTGTCTGTTTCAGGCCAGAGAATTCACCTCGACCCCATGGACAGTTCCAGCAGAACTGCGGCTGTCACTCCCCATCATTCCCGATTTCACGATCTCGACCTCCACCAGGTAGACGGAGGCTTCGCCATCATCAGCGAGGAGGAAGAGAGTGACATGGTGTTCGTGAACGACACCGGGCCCATGCACAGTCCCAGCACGCGTCGAGCCAAATCGTACCCCTTCTCCCTGTCCCCCATCTACGAGGAGGAGGGTGTGCGTGAGGAGGCCGTGGGCCGGGAGACGCTGCCGTTCCCCCCGGTGGCCGAGGAGGAGCAGAGGAGCGTTGAGCAGCCGGCCTCCTCCATACTCTCACTCCTGCAGTCCGTAAGCGAGAAGCTGCAGTCCAGTGTGATCTGCAGTCCAGCTGAGGACTCCTCCAGCGCCTCTCCGACGAGCTACCGCTACTCCCGCGGAGACG